TAGCTTAATTTCAAAATATATAAAAATATCTTGATATTAAATTGTAATAATACAAAATGTTATCAATAAAAAACTGAAATCAGGTTTCACTCTTTAAAAAAAAAAAAAAAAATATTAATATAATTAATTTTAGCTAATATACTAATAGTAATAATATATTAACTAATCTATTTAGTCAAATTAAACAAATTTATTATTCAATTAGTTTGTAAACTTTTAATTATCCCTTAAACTGTATTTCAGGCAAATTTGCCTGGAAAATTTAATTGTATTTAGTATTTTTAAATAAAATAATAATTTATTAATGATATGGGTTATATATTTATAGCAAAAATAAATTGTCGACCCATCGCACTGCAACCCTTATATGATCGGCCAATCACAGTAAAGATTGATGATCATATATAAACAATTAATACTCGCTTTTGTTTTTTTTTCAATTTTTGTTTTTTTCGCTTTTTCGCTTTGCTTAACTTCGGAATCAGATACGTGCTTTTTAATTTTTTTTTGTTTTTTTTTTTGTTCCTTTTATTGAAGCTAATATTTCTTTCGTTATTTTATTTTGACTATTTTTTATTTTTTTTCGCCTTGCTTTTTTTTATTAATTTCACCTTCTTTTTTTCTTACCTTTAATTTTCTTTTCCTCTGCTTTTTTCTGTTTATTTTCTTTTCTTCTTTCTACTGTATTTTCTTTTTCTTCCGCTTTTTTCTTCTTCATTTATTTCCCTGCTTCCTTCTTTTTTTCTTGCTTTTTTTTTCTTTTTACATTTTTTTCCACTTTCGTTCTTTTCTTTTTTTCGCTTTCATTCTTTTCTTTCTTCTTGTTTCTTTTTCTTTTCTTTTTTTTTACCTTTAATTTTCTTTTCCTCTTCTTTTTTTTTCCGCTTTATTTTCTTTCTCTTTCTCTCTCCGCTCTATTTCTTCTTTTCTGCTTTCTTTTTCTTCTTTTTCTGCTTTTTTTTTCGTTTTCTGTTCTTTTATTTCTTTTTTTTATTTCTCTTTTATTTCTTTTTCTTGCTTCCCTTTTTCTTTTCTTTTCCGTTTTTTCCTTATTTCTCTGCTTTAATTCTTTTCTTCTTTCCCGCTTCTTTCTTTTCTCACTTCTTTCTTTTTCTACTTTTTTCTTTTCTTTCCTTTTACTTCCTTTTTTTTCGTTTTCTGTCTT